TAGGGAAAAAAATTAAATAAAGAAATTCTGTTTGAACTTTGTACAAATTGAGGGTAAATTAGTCTCTGTGTCTGGGAGGGACCCAAGGACAGCAACCAGCCAACAGAGCAGAGTACAATGTCCAGCTCCAACATATCAGTTGTGTAGATATGAATATCTGCAGCATATTCACAAAGGTGACAATGGTGGCAAGCAGATGCAAAAAAACTTTATCAGAGTGCTACAGAGCACTCATTAAACGTGGCCATGGTTTACTAATTATTAAATTGACAGTTTTGAGCCCAAGTTGGACCTGCTGAAAGTTTCTGACACAGCTTTGAGGGGTTATTTCCTGTCACACTTTCAAGCCTACCTATGGCCCGTTTGATAAAAATACAAATTTTAAAACTAAGTTAATATGATCGGAAAAAAAAGCTTTTCTGCCCAAAACAAATTGTCCAATGCTGATAGTTGATCAGGATGAGAACAACTAGTTTCGTCATTGTTGTTTTACTTTATTAGTATGTTTAGTTCTGACCTCTTCCTTTACGGCCTTTGTAAAGAAGTAGAGAAATTGGTTAAAAAAATAGTGAAAACAAAAGACTCAACCTTGACCATGAACCTCAGTCATTCTACCGTTTCTTTGGCTACAAATGATAAAAAATTATTTTTATTCCTTGTTTGTATTATGACTGTATTTGACAGTACCTTCCACGTGCAAGTATATTAAACATATTCCTACCTGGCTGATTGTAGCCATGCAGAGATGTAGGTGGGATCCCAGGGCCTGGAGGTTGGGTGACACTATGGGACCCATAGGCTTGCTGCGGTAAGCTGTAAGCAGTTGATGATGATGGTGGTGGTGGTGGTGCTGTTGAGCTTGAAGGTGGATTCAGGTGATTCGCGACAGGGCCACGGGGAGGTGAGCTCATGGAATTTGGTGGTGGGGGTGTTCCCATTGGTGCTGGGACTGGGTTGTACTGCCATGGTTGGGCATTGGGCTGGGGCTGCTGCAAATTGGAATAGTAGCTACTAGAAGACACTGCAGGAGGAGGTGGTGTAGCCTGTGCAAGGGGCATTCTGGGTCCAGGACTGGGGCTTGCAGACTGTGGAGGGGTATGAAGAGGAGGACCAGCAATCTGGGGCCTGGTCAAAAGTGGCTGCCCTGGGGGTGTTGAGTAGGAAGCCAGTTGAGGGCCAGGCTGGTAAGAACTGACCGGGGGATACCCAGAATGGTAGAGTCCAGGGCCAGGGGCTACAGGCGCCTTGGCCTGCATTGGGTTGTAGGGAGGTTGGTGAGTCATGCCATAGCTGACCCCAGGTAGCTGCTGTATAGCAACAGGATTCTGTGATGGACCTGGAGACCAGTAGATGACAGAAATTAGTATGTACGTCAATGTCCCATCAAAACTACATGTCAGCTTCATAACTAGTACATTTCTTTCTCCAAAACCACTCACTTAAAAAAAACACAGTAACTGGAGCTGATTTTGTGCACTTAATGCCAAAGTGATGGGTTTCAATGACGTGAAATTCAAAACAATACATTATTGACTCAAATTTAAGAACATTGTTCTTTAGCAGTGGTATTTAACAGCATCAGGTAATTGTGATTTAGCATTATCAGTAAATTGGTGGACTGTTCAATATTTAATTACAAGGAAGGCTATGGGTACAGTATTCTTACTCCATTTAGTGGCAAAATGCCCATGGATTACATGTATCTAGGGTATGCCTCTGTTTACTACTAACCCTGTTTATGAGTTAGTCCTAGGTTCAAATGATTAAAAGTCAAGGCATTAGCTTTCATTCACAATGCAAACACCTGTTTAAATAAATGTTAAAAAAGCAAGATGAGAGATGGAGATGACGTCAGCTGTAAATTGATCAGATCCACTGAATAACTAAAGGTCCGACAGGTCAGAGTTAAATCCTATTACATGGATTTAATTTAACAGGATTTGTCTTTAGTTGTCTCGGGCTGCTAACATTTGACTTTACATCAGGTGATTATATCAGTAGCCTGAGGTAGATTACCTTGCAAAAGTTTTAATTTACTGTAAAAAATATTGTTATTAAAACTGCTCATTCTGTACAGAAAGGTACAGAATGAAGATTAGTAAAAGAAGATTAGTAAAAGATAAAAAATAACAGTAGTATTTTCATCTCATTCCACAAATATATTTTATATCTTCAACCTTTTTTTTTTTTTTTTTATTTTAAGACCTTAAGATCACTGCCTAAGATACTTATCCATACTTATCCAAGAACACCCTGTCAGTGAAACAGACCTCTCTCAATCTCTAATTCACACCGGGTATAAGAATAAACAAATTGGTATCTTAGTTTAAAGGGTGTTGAGCAAAGTGCAGGGGAGAAATTACTGATCATTTAAATAAACAAATAATGGAATAATTGATATTTAGATACACAATTGTATGGTTCTATTTCAGCCTCCTGAACATTTTACAGCATGAAACAAACCCCCCATATCTTAAAAAAGGTGCTTTTGTGAGAAGAACATAAACTTTTATATAGACAAATGTTTTACAATATATCGTAGTTGGATCGCCCTTAGATATCAATAAGATTATCCGTTAGGAAAAACACAGCCAGAGAATGTATCTACAGCTATTAAACTTTATAACTGCAGTTACTTCTCCTGCAGAGAACAGAATAAGAAAACACGTTTTAACTTGTTATTTGTACCGACCGTGTAAATATTATGTTGATACGCTCATTGAAACCCGTTGGACATGTCTTAGTAATCTCAAACTCAAGTGTAACGTCTTAATCCTTGGGGAAAGCACTGCAGCAGCATACCTGGATCATCACCAATGTGCCACATGTACAGTAAAAACCACATCGCCGATACATTAAAAAAAAAGAGTCGGTGATAAAATGGACCAGGACTGTTTTCCTTAATTTCATAGACACTGTACATGACATCACTTGATCTGTTGGATAGGTCCTCTGACACACTAAGAAGATAGAAAGACAGGCTACATACCCTGGCCCGAGATAGTAGTATTTAACAAAGCCGAACCATAACAATGTAATATAACTTTTTCGTAGAAAATATTAAACCACCAGAAGTAAATATTTCTCAAATGTATCTTTACTTTACAATGTATAACACGTTACACGCAATCTTTATTGACTAAAGCAGTTAGCCAACAGCTAGCAAATAGCCTAAGGGATATGATCCGGTGTCAGCTGCTTACTCGCTAACTGCGTTGATAGCTGCTAAGTTCGCTTCTAACCGACTTGACACTGTGTAAACTTTACTCACCGTTTGAGTACGCTTGTCCTGGCCCTGTCCCGTTCTGAGAGTTGAACCCCGCAGTTGACATGTTGAAACAGACACCGAGTCCTAATTTAAGGGCTGCTTGGTTGGCAAATCGAGTAGCTAGCTGCGTCGTTGGCTAGCTGGCTAGCTAACTAGCAGATAGTATAGGGGAAATGTCCAAACCTGTAGCTGTGACTATGCGGCGTTTGTCAAAGCTGTTGTACCTCACGCCGAATCCTATTTTTTGTAAAATAAAGTTATTAAACGAACTCGGTCCGCGGTCACAGGGCCATGGCTCCGGCCAAACCCCGTTCCAACTAGCTACGGGTGAGTATCGATAGGCCTTGTCAGGGTAGTCGTGTGAGACGCCTCTCTCACTCTCTCGCCGGAAGTTAGGATCACCCAGCAGGATCAACGCAAAGGGTCTCACGCATGCGCAGTGTTTACACGTGGCATTTCCGCTGGAGCTCCTGATCTTATAGTCCGACTAGAAACACCAATAGGGAGCGTGTTGCCCCTATTTTAAGTAGTTGGGGACTTTAAACTTATTATAATTTGTCTGAGATGAATTCCAAAACAAGACCCTTTTAAGTATACATTTCATTTTCCCTCGGTGAATTGATTACACTTTTAGATATCTAAGTTTAACGGAGCAAAATATAAAAATATTTGAAGACCCAAAAATTACTTTTATTTTTAAGTAAAACAAATGCAGTTCCGGTAATGACCAAATAGATTACATTTTGTTAAATTCTGAGGTACATGTACGAAAGGTCTTTAAAATATCAAATTTTTACCATCCTTTTGTATTTTGCTAATTTATCCATTACGTTCAGAATGGAAAATATCATTGTGTTATTATCATTTCAAAGTTTTTCTGTGTAAAATCTAATACCGTCTTCCTTTATAGATCTGTGGAACAATTTTCCTATCCCTTTCTATTAACGACGTTTACGCTCAAAAATACGAGTTACAACACTATAAGAGGACAATCCTACTCAAATATCTAGCTGTAAAAGCCATTGTGTGGATTAAAATTAAATAAGAAAATGTGTTTGAAAAATGTTGTATAGTTGCCGATGAAGTGTATCTGAGTTTCCCTGTCGGAGGAGTGTTTGTGAACATAAACAGGAAGCGGTAGGGCAGAGTTGTGGGGAGTAGCTGTTAGACAGCCATTGCAGTGTCGTGGCTCAGTAGCAAAACACGAAAAAGGGAGGAAGACCTGGCATCTCACAGGCCCTCTGCTTTTAGACAGGGACACCAATTTGTATGTTTATAGGAAAGAACACCCTCGTCAAGTTAATCTGCACCTAATTAACGGGTAAGTATTTGCGATGATTTTTTGAGTTCTCGTTTAAAATGAGCTTTTTAAGCCCAGCTCACAAATTCCCCCCGGCTGCTAACGATGCTACATTAGCATGGCTAACTCGCATATAACCGAGGAGCTTCTATGTGGAAACAACTTGAAAATTGTTGCTAGTTGGCATGTTTTGACATCAGCAAGTGATAGTAGAAACAGAATGTATTCGTTTTATTACACGTCCTGACAGCTGTCAATGTGAATGAAGTATTTATGTAGCTAACTGCTAATTAACTAACGCAGCCGATGCAACGTCGCCGCTGACGATTATGACACGTAGCTGGTAGCTTTCTGTTAGCCATCCTGTTCCTCGGCCGGAGTCAGGCTTTATATAATACCATCGGCATCCCTGGCTTTTATTTGTTTTATTTTTTTTAATGTTTTTCCCTATCCTCTTGGTCTGGAGAAACCCTGTGTAAATAGATAAAAGTTCGTTGTAATTTAAAAGTTAGATAACTTCGCTGCTAGGTTGACACTGACTATTACTAGATTGACACAATTCAGCCGCTAACGCGAGTTGATGGGGATTTGATGGAAGGACAATTATTAATAAATATGAACTTTGCCACAAGAAATATGTATTTGTTGCTGTTAAGGTCACATTAAACGTTACGTAATGACCTGAGCTGAAGAACAGTATTTTAACCTAAGTATTTGAATACGCAACTATTATGTACATTATTATTTTAAGGAAAATAATTGGTAAAATTATGGGATTGCTAATTTGACAATAAATACTTATAATACTTACTATTGACTCTACTATGTAGCTTTTTAGTAATAGTGTAGGATATACAAGTAATTAGTTGGATTTGTTTTGTAATTTGAATCTGTGTTTCAAATTAATTAGAAATTACATTTAGAGATAGCTGCCCACATTTTTTAATTCTAAATATATTTGATTTTTGATTTTTATTATAAATATAGTTACTGAAATATTACGTGTTACCTTTTTAGCCTGAATGTGAGTTAATGGTGGCTGGGTTTTTAAAAAACAAAACAAAAAACTCACTTTTGTGCTGTTTACTTGTGGTGGGTAGTGGTTACTCATTCACAACAGCACCATCATAACACTTTTTGTGGGTTTGTAATTCCAATCAGTCGAGATATGATGTAGCTGCAAAGCTGCAGCTGACGTGTAGCTCAGCTGTATTTGTGTGATCTTGACCTTTGGTTGCCTTAAACTTTAGTCCTCAGATTGTTTGCATGTTACGTAAGTAGGAATAGAAGTCAGCACACGTTTACTTTCTTCTGGAAGGTCTCTAGCTCACAAAAAAGGATTAATTTTAGCTTTGGCCTTTGTTTGACTTTACTTGATTAAATTTGTATTTAATGTAAAAGGTCAGCTGCGCATTAAAATTAACAAAACTGAGGCTCTTGTTCAAAATGACAAGCTTTTGCCTGTCAGAGAGTTGACTTCACACAAATAGAGGATTATTATGTGTCTTAAAATTTGAATTACTTTGTTTTGTTTGGAGTACTGTCTTAGTAGCTATCTTGAAAGACTTGAATGTTCTGGCTTCCTTTCCAAGGCCCTTGCAGATGGCGGGTGTTGAACAGAGCACTCATATTGCCTTTGGAGGAGGTGGCATATGGTGTGTGTGATCAGTACTGAATTTTCTGTCCTCAGACTTCCTCCAATCGCAAGCTAATCATTAGCAATTGCCAAAGTGTTTATAATAGGTAAAATCCACCACCATATTCATCTTATGTACCTTTCATCAGTTTCCAATTTAACCAGTTATATGCCACTAAAACACTCCAGTGCAATTTTCTTCAGTCACTCTATGATTGAAAATCACAAACGTATTGATGAGAAATTGAGTATAAAACAACATTGGGTGCAATGTGCTTGAATAGAGTGGAGCAGAAGGCCAGCAATCAATATCCATATCAAAATTTAGGCCAACAATCCAGTGATACATCGCGATGTTATCCCTTCAAGCATCCTTGCAGCTATTACAATTTTTTTACTACCATTTTTGTGTCTTTCTGACCTCCTTTTCCTCCAACAGTTCCAGGTATGTCATCCATGTGGGATTTTCTGTATAGCAGTTTCAATAGCGTACTACAGTTTTTAGGTGAGTAACAGGTTTTACACACACAAATACACTTTTCCACTAACATGATTTTAGGACTTTTAAAGGTCTTAGTTTAGCATAATTTGATGGTTGACAACCTCTGACAACATCACACTTGAGTTCGCATTTAAAACCATTAATAATAATGTTTTCAAGTAATAGAACTGTGATGTGAGAGGTTGGTTAAAGCCTGATTAATGAAATTTATTCCAAGAAGAATGTAGTTGAGGCAGTAGGCGTGACCATAACTCCATTCAACAGAAGTCTTGTAGAGTTGACTTAATAATAGGGCTGTCAAAATTAACTTATTAATCACGCTAACAAATAAATTAGTTGAATTTGTCATACTAAAAGCTTGAACACATTTTAACATAGTGGCTGAAAGACGCTGAATGTTGACTTCTCTCATTTAATTGTGAAAATTGTGTTTTAATACAATTCCAATTAATGGTGAGGATTTGTAACTAATCCACAGCTACCCATTTGATCGCATTAGTTCATGTATTGCACTGTATTTTTATCCCAAACTATGATATTAAAGTAATTATTTGTGCCCAACCTCTGCAAAACATGGTTTATTTCATATCCTGCTCTGCCAAGCAGCTTTCTAATTCACTCCTCTAGTCTCTGTGTCAGAGCTGCAAGACAATCGTTCCTGTTCTCCCAGTCAGGCGGGTTCACAGAGTGCTATTTAAAAATTGTTGACGTACATTTAAGCTGACTCAGTCAGAAAAAAAGATCCTAATGGTGCTCAAATGGTGGTACAAAAAGCGACAAATCTAAGGCCAAAATCTAAAACAGGAACTTCTTATTATCTTGTTATCTGAGATTAATGACTTCATTACATGCTTACTGGATGGTGTTGTGACAAATTTCTGCTCCTCATTTTTAGGACTGTTCAAGAAATCAGGCAAGTTAGTATTTCTTGGCCTGGACAATGCTGGCAAAACAACGCTATTGCACATGCTCAAAGATGACAGATTGGGACAACATGTGCCCACTTTACATCCAAGTGAGTCTCAGATCTCCCTGTCTCTTCTACACAAGCAAATCTTTATCGGCCGAGTTTATCCTTTTTGTATGTTGTGATGTATAATGCTGAATTTTTGGGGGGCTTTAACATGTGTCCACTTCTCATTGACCAGCCTCTGAAGAGTTGACAATTGCTGGCATGACCTTTACCACCTTTGACCTTGGAGGCCACGCACAAGGTGCGTCCGTGTTATTTTGTTTTATACAGTCCTAATACCTGATAATAGTCACAATGTAAGAAGTTCGGTCAAACTTTCTTTGTATGTTGCAGCTCGGAGAGTGTGGAAAAACTACCTCCCTGCAATCAATGGCATTGTCTTCCTTGTGGATTGCGCAGATCACATTAGATTGGGTGAATCAAAAGCAGAACTTGACGTGAGTATCACACCAAAATGAATTCCGAGGTTGAGAGAATTTTTCCCTGTGCTTACTGACAATTACCCGTGTTGCAGGATGTTTTAACATACAAACACTGAACATCAGACAATCAATATCATCAACACGTCACCAATGTTACACACTGCAGCTTAAAAAAAGTGAATACCAACTGTTAATGCCCTTGCCTACCCTTACAGGCATTAATGACAGACGAGACCATTGGAAATGTGCCTATCCTGATCCTGGGCAACAAAATCGACATATCAGGAGCCATCAGCGAGGAAAATCTGAGAGGAGTTTTTGGATTATATGGACAGACGACAGGCAAGGTATGTATTTGTTTTGGCGTTTTTTGTTGTTGTTTTCGTCGCTATTTGGAGACTAAGTATGACTATGGGCTTTGATACAATCATTGGTGAGTTGCAGAGTTGAAGGTGTTCTGTTGCTCACTGTCAGATGAATAATAGGAAGTTGTTACACCATTAGGCCCTCGGCTGTGTAGTAAATGTTGGTTGTAGTCAAGTAAAGGTAAACATTGTTGCAATGCAAATATTCTCATAGGAGGATGGTTTGTATGCACAGGCCTTTTTCCTTAGGAAACTTACAGAAACCAAACCTTTCTGACCAAACAAAGATTTCTAAGCATTTTACAATAAACCCATTCAATTATTTCAACTCAATGTGTATGTGCGGTTTTATTAAACACAGGCTCTGGGGGTTTAAAACTGAAAGGAAAATAACCCAACAATTCCCTCCAGTTTGCACACATTAACTTCCTCCCATCCCTGCAGGGTTTTCAATAACGTTCAGTAAAGTAAAGTTTATCAGCACACTTCCCAGTTGAGTGTGCTGATCAAACATTGTCTTATTCGTAGCTTGTCATCCAGTGAGTAGCATTATTGCCACCTACCCAGACAGTTTTTCACTAGTAAACATTTCCACCTACAATTGAATCGACTACTGTGAGACTGGGAAAACAGAGAAAACTCAGACATAGGGTGGTGTCCTTGCACCATGTGCTTCCTGTGGCTGTTGACTCTGGACATACATTTAAAATAATAATTTGTTAAATTTCCATGGAGTTTTTGTAGCAGCATAAACACTACGTAACTAAGGGCAATGATGAAATATTTTAACACCAAAAACTCGGTTTTTTAGGTTTAAGCTCACTCCCAGAGAGTTGATTTTAAATATTTTAATTATTCCAAGAAGCCTTTTCTCCTTAATATTTCTATTTTTTTTCCCCCTCTCAGGGCAACATTCCTTTAAAGGAGCTGAACACAAGACCACTGGAGGTGTTCATGTGCAGCGTGTTGAAGAGGCAGGGCTACGGCGAGGGCTTCCGCTGGCTCTCGCAGTACATCGACTAAAGACGCCCAGCTACTGTCATATGTCAACACCACCAACATCATTACAGAGGGCGCTACACCCAACCACTCACAGTGTCCACTGTTGCCACCAGTAACACACTCAACCCCTTCTTTGGTTAAACAAATTTGCCTCCACCTTCAGAGAACCCAGTCCATACTCGATCCCAATAGACTTTTATTGGTCGAACTTTTGGTTCTGCACTTACAGCCTCCATACTTGTACGTGCTCACACAACACACAACTGCTGTCTCCATCTCTCTCTCTCGCTGTCTCTCTCTCTCCCTCCCTCTTTCCC